CTGGGTTGCCCCATTTTCATGTCTAGTACCTGACTTTTATGTGAAAATAAAAAGCACATTAATTAAAAAAAAAAACCCTCACAATTTATTTTTATTAATGTATGCATCTAAAACTGAAAGGAGCAAACAGTTCCTTCCCTATCTCAGGGCATAAAATGCCCTCACTCTTACCTATGGTACTTGGGTTTCCTGGAATGTTAAGCAAAGCAATGGGTAGGTAGAAGGTTAAAGGCAAGGCAACAGTGTTGAAAAGGAATACGATAAGTAGTATATGGAAAAGGAATGTGGGACTGTGTATACATCTGTTGATTGAAGCATGGCCAGAAGATCCAGGGAAGTGATGCATCTGCATCTGCAATGCCACATCCAGTGGTGTCCTCCATGCCCGAGCATGAAGAAGACATTGGTAAACTGGAGTGAGTTCAGTGGAGGGCCACCAGGATGGTCAAGGGCTGGAGCACTTGCCCTGTGAACAGAGGCCAAGGGAGTGGAGAATTCAGCATGGAGTAGAGGTGATCTCACAGGGACCTGATAGCTGCCTGCTAGAATATGCAGGGAAGTTATTTGAGAAGATGGAGTCAGGCTGTGGGAGGACAAGAGACAATAATTGTAAATTGATGCAATAATGTTTCTGACTGGAATCAAGAGAAAACCTTTCCAGCATGGAACAGTCAAGTATTGGAAGAATTGTCAAGAGAGTTTGTGCAGTCTCCATCTGTGGGTGTTTTATGGCTTGACTGGATAAAGCCTTGAGCAGTCTGTCTGTTCTGGACAGAACATTAACTGGAGACCTGCCAAGGTTCTATCAAATCTGATTCTCTACAATTTTCCTCATGTGATAATGTACTGTATACCTTATTTGATCTGTTCTCTTCTGGTAGATTAAATTTTTGTCACTAAGCACATTTTCCTTGTATCCTCATTTTATTATACCTCTTCTACTCTGCTGTACCTTCTTAACTCTTAAGTACATCTAAGTACTCTAAGTACATCTGGTAGTTCCATTGTCTTCAGAGTTCTCCTAACTTACAAAGTTTCTTTAGTGCACCTCAATCCTCAGAGGAGTGCTTCCAGTCACCAAATCTATGGAGACTCTTCATGGCCATTTTCATAGCAAAGCAGAGTCACTGCCTTCTGCTTTCCTCTCTGAACTGTCTTGTAGAAGGGTTGCTGTCTGCTTTGCTGCAGTGCCTCTGTTCTTTCTTCTAGTAGTGGATGAAAACCAATTCTGTGCTCATTAAAAGATAGCAGTGTTGCTGCATTCAGCTTTCACAAGAGGAGTACCTAATGGTAGATATGGCCTCAGACCAGTGGTATGCATGGACTGTAAATAAACATGAAGGGATTTTTGGAAGCAGATGAATACCAAAGCTTACTGGTCTACTCTCAGTAGCCCTTCTGGAGAAAAAGGGAAAAAAAAAAAAAGATTTTTTTGTTTTGTAATGATGTTTTGTTTGGCTTTATTTCTGGATTTCAAAATACTGGAGTTTCTTCTGGCCTCTACTCTCAGGAGATAGCTTCAACTCCAATGCCCTCTGTATTTCTTGGATTTTTTTATATTTTCTTAAAAACACATTAATACTAAAAGCATGAGGATGTTTATGAAAAATGTTCTCACATTTCCTTGTGGGTCTGGGAGGGTATTTTTGGGTATGTCTTTTACACTTGCTTTTGCAGTTAAGCCTTATCTAGTTGCCTTTAAACTCGTTAGCAACTAAATTGTAATAATTGTAGCAGAACCTACATTATTTAGATTTTAATACCCATTCCAAATAGCCTTGAGTATATTACAATTTGATTATCAAGTAGGTCAGATTAACACTAGTCCGTAAGAACAGTTTTCACTATTCATTCAAACTTGACTCTCCTAGCATTTGGATGCTGTAAAACCTGTAACATTTCTAAATGAGTGCATTTCCTCAGGTGTCTTGTGACCAGCTTGCAGTTAGCAAAGATGGTTTTGAATTTCCTGAATCGTCTTCTGTCTCTCAAGATACTCCTCAGCTCAGGGTATTGCTGCCAGAAGAGTATTGTAGTGGGCAGAAAACATGAAACTTACCAAATTAAAATAACTTAAATAGTATAACTATACCTTAAAATGCTGGAATAAAGCAAGCAGTGAATATACTGGGAAGGTTTGAGGATAGTAATAGGGTAATAGTTACATGAAGTACCTTTGATTCACACAAAGGAAAGAAAATGATGGAGACAACAAGGTTTTCTTCTGCAGCCCACAAACTGCATATTGCTGTTCTTCCATAATTCTGTCTTAACAAAGCCTGATAATTTGACCTTGGAATGCTGAGATTTCAGTCATTTGCATATATTTAGCCATACAGACTTTTTCCTTGGATTTTTGGAAAGTTTGGAAGTCTTCTATGTTATGTCATGTGTTTTATCATACTCATTGCAAAAGTAATCTTTGTTTAATTCATGTGTAAATCAAATAGTATTTTTCAGTCAAAACCCATGAATCTTCATAGAGACCTTCAATACTGATAATGCACTGTTCTGTCAAGAGCTGCAGTCATCTAAACATAAAAATGTTTCAATAAGGATTCTTGGGGCTAGAAAACATTTTAAAGATTTAGACTACTCTTTAAAGACATACTTCTCGACAAATAAATACAGACTACCATATTATGAGCTTCTTTGATTTAGGTATCTCTTTCCATTAAGTTTGTTGGCAGAAGTTAAATTTAAAAATTCAGTTCTATTTCACAGTTCAGGCCATTAGCTAACCTATTGACAAGGGCTAGTTTCTACCTTTTGGAGGTCAAGGAAGCCATTCTTCATCCAATGCTGCAAGCTTCCCTGTAAACAAGCCTTGATGCCTTCTGATTGGATTTGTGTGCCCTGGCTTGCATAACCATACAGCTTGTATCCCAGCATTATTAGCCAAAAGGAATATAGGGACTTACATAATCATTACACGATTATTTTTCAGTAACTGTACTGTAAATATGTAATTCTCTCTGTTCCTAATAACTCTTAATCTCTTTGTTTCTATTGGCTCATGGGCTCAGATTTGGCTGTGGCCTCCATACCCTGGCCACTGATGAAACTTGAAAAAATTGTTACTCTCAGGGCTCACCTGCTTTGCTCCCAGCAGCAAATATGTGTTCCCCAGTGCAGGCAGGGGCACTGCACGGTGGTGCATTGTGTTGTGGGAGCGTGCACAGCACTTCTGCCTCCATTCCTTCTGAGAAGGGCCCATTCATCTTTAGAAACCTTTCATACCTGGCTCTGTGTGTATGTTCAGCACAGACCTCTTTGCTGAGCTTCTTTGTGTGTTTTATGCCTGAGAATTCTAGTGCAAAGTTTTGATCTCATTTCTGCATGTTTTTTGAGAAAGATTCTTGAGATCCTTTGGTGAGAAAATCTGAATTATCAAGAACTTTTGATCCACTGCAGGTGTTGGAAACCAGGAAGAGATTGTTTTCCTTTTGGTACAAGCAAATAGAAAAAGGCTTTTTAGAGTGCTTCTTGTAAAAACATGGCCCTATTCTGCTGTTTAGTTGTGGTATCTGTGGGATTTGGTGGTCAGCTCTCTCCCAAGTTGTAGTTCTTCCAGTGGTAACTTATGCTAATAACGTACCTTTCAGGTATATTTGAAAATAGCCGCAACTTTGATGCAAAACTGCTTTTCTTGCTGCTTTTAATATTAGAAGTGTAACTCTTTTTTTTTTATTTCAGCCTTACAAAATAATTGAAAATAATTTTTCTGTGTTTAATTAGCTTCATGAGTCAGTGCCTGGTCTTAGATCTTAACATTTTTGGCATGCAAAATTTTCTTGTGTGTTTGACCTTGGCTTTATTCCAGAATAAATATTTTAAGCTGCTAGTTGTGTGTATTTTTTTTTTTTTTTCATCTTTGGTCTGAGTCTAGGGGGCAGACATAAGGAGCACTGAAAGAAGTGAAGTGTATAAACCACAATTAGAATTGCAGTGCACAGGTGTCTGTAGATCTTACATAATTGCCAAGCTATTTGTTTCTCAAATGATAGGGGCTTTGGGAGTATATTTTGGAGAATAAAGGGAGCAGAAGGCATGTTAGGGTTATGGGTTTGGTTGTTTGGGGTTTTTAGTTTCCTGTTTTTTCAAATCCTGCTTTAAATTCTTCCAGACTTGATACATTTGATATCTTTACAGAACCAGCATATTGAATGGTTGAAAGTGATCTACTGTGACTGGCAATGCAGTTTATAACTGCCTTCAGAGAGGAATCAGCATTGAAGAATAAAAATTCCTTGCATAATAGCTTTTCTTTGAGCATCAAATTAGGTCTTGTGGTTTAAAAATCTGAATGCCAGCATTGAAAATAAGATGACTTGTAATAATATTAAAAAAAAAGACTTTTGCATCAAGGTTATGGGTGAATTCTGCTGCAGGCCCTTGAGGATCTTTTTGGAAAGAGAGGCATCTTAAATCTCTATTCTAGTCATACACAAAATATTATTGCAATGAAAAAATCGTGATGTGAATAAACAGCAGCTCACAGTACAGGATGCTCGATGTATCAGGAGTCCTAGTGTTCACTGTATTTTGCAATTTAATGCACAATATTTTTTTAATTCTGTATTTGTGTATGCACCACTCACTGTGCTGGATCTGTATTCTTGGGATATGAGGTTCCATTAAAAAATAAATAATAATCGCAGCCCCCACTCCCCCCACGTGCACTCATTTTCTGTAATATGGTAATGATATCACCGTAGCAGTAATTACGGGTCATCTTCATTTCTTTCATCTCTGCTGGTTCTGATGGCTTCATTCCTTTGACGGAGAAGATTTGGCTCTGGGTGCTGTGATTATTTTGTTAAGCATTATTCGAATAGACAGGAGTGAGAGAAATTAATCAATCCAAATGCAATTAGCATCATGTTTAACCCAGTGATGGACGTCTCAAGGTGAAACAGCCAGGGGAGTTTCAGACATTATTATTCAATCCAGTGGCTCTTATCTAAATTATAATCAAGAGTTTTTTATTGGCTTTGCAGAGAGAAGATGTAACTCTTTCCCTGCTTTGGGGGTCAAAGGGATCAGATCTTTGGTCGTACAAGATACTGGCTGCAGGTATCTCCTAGAATTGGGAGGTACTGTAAAAGTTTGCTGTAATATCAGGGTCACTTGGGACAAATTACCTGCACATCCTAATATCTGTGGCCTGGAACGTAAGTGTAGCAGCTCCCTGGTCATTGGCAGGGTTGTCTTTGCCCCTTGCATTTCATTGACTGAGTTTGCCCATCTGAATGTGAGTAAATACTGTTTGTAGTGTCAGCATTCGAAGCTCTATGAACATCCCAGTTTGCAACTGACTGCAAACAGAATGATAACCTCCTTGCAAGGTAGGGAAATCTAGTTAGGAGAACAAGGGAAATGATTCTACAGGGAAGGAATCAAATTTTTCTTAGAGTAGATATAATTTTAGTATTTATTGATAGCAACAATAACATTTTTGAGTATTTATTAATCTGCAGCAGATCTGTTGTCACTGAATCATCCTGAATGATTCTCTGAGATCTCTTATCAGGTATAAGAAAAAACATGAGTACTATATGTGGAGAAAAACAAGGCGGAAAGAGGTCACATGAGGCTTTCACAATTCGGGAAGGCATTGGTATTTGATTACAATTCTTAAGGCTCTAGCTAACACTCACAAAAGTGTTTCAGTGCTTTAAAACTTTGTCAGTCTCAGCTATTTGCCACTTCTCTGTCAGAGAGGACTGTTCTCATAGCATACTGGGAGGAGCAGTCCATGTGCTCACCTGCTCCGATTCACAGCCTGGTTTTGTGCAAGTTTTACCTTCTTTGGCACTTCTAAACAAGCCATGCCAGACTGTGAAGTACAGCTGACATAAGGACACATTCTGCTTTCTCATTCACCAAGGGGAGGACACTGATGTTTTGTACCAGAGGGGTGTTATTATTTAAAAATGCTGCAGGCAAGACTTGACAGCTCATCTTTCAGATTCTGAATTCTAGCACAGTTGCTGAATCCTTTTGCATACATCTTGTGCTAGCTTTGGCTGGGGTAGAGTTAATTTTCTTCACAGTGGCTGGTATGGGCCTGTGTTCTGGATTTGTGCTAAACAAAGGTTGATAATAGAGAGATGGTTTTGTTCCTGGTGAGCAGAGCCAAGGCCTTTTCTGCTTTTTGTACTGCCATGCTGGCAGAGAGGCTCGAGGTACATGGAAGGTTGGGAGGAGACACAGCTGGGACAGGTGATCCAAACTGACCAAAGGGATATTCTAGACCACATGACATTGTGCTCAGTGTATAAAGTGGGGGAAAAAGGAGGAGGTGAGGGATGATCAGAGTGGCCATGTTTGTCTTCCCAAGTCACCATTATGTATGATGGGACCATTCTCTCCTGGAGATGCTGAACACCTGCCTACCACAGGAAGCAGTGAATCAATTCCTTGCTTTCATTTGCTTTCTCTTGTTAAACTGGCTTTATCCTGACCCACAGATTTCTCAGCTATACCCTTCTGATCCTATCCCTGATTCTGCTAGTGAAGGAGTGAGCAAATGGCTGCATAGGCCTTGGTTGCTGGCTGAGGTGAAAGCACAGCAATCTGTACTGAGGCTGTGATCCCATCTGTAAGGTGGTAATTAAATCACTATATGTTTCAAGAATATTGTAAGGCTTGATAAACTTTGCAAGTGCTTTGATACTGATTACTGAGAGATGCCATGGTAATGCAAGCTTACTCCACCTAGAGGTTTATGCTGATTCTGTTGTCTTAGCTGAGGAATGTGTTTCAGGAGTGTTAGGTGATTGCAGTGATCTTCAGTGTCAGTGTAACAGTTCCTGAAGCACAGCTTGGAGTGCCTGCATGTGCCAGTGTGCCTCCAGTGAAGGTCACTGACCTTGTTTTCACTAGCCATGGCTCTCCTGAGATGGCAGTTCAACTATCTCTGAAACTGGGATTGGGGTAGCATTCACTGGTAAGTATTTGTCAAAGGCCAACAGTCTTCAACTAGCAGCTTGTTTGACACTTATATTAGGAAGCAGCCAGCAGGTAGCAGAGTAATTGAAGCTCTTTCCATGAAGAAAGAAGTGTGAGCTGGTGGCAGGTGGTCATAAGATTTTGAGGGTCTGGTTTGAGCTAGATCTGCAGGGACCAGATTCTATCTCTCTGACAGAACTTCAGACTATGTTGTCTGGGTAAAAATATTCTCTTGGTCTTGTCTGTCATATGCCTCTTTTTTCTTTGAGAGCTGTTCAGTAATAATGTCAATCTTAAATATTTTTGCTGGTTTTAAATTACCTTTTTGCCTTCAACTCTCATCCCCGACTTATTTTTTTGTTTTCCTTGAACATGCAATATTAGTTGAGCCCAACTGAAAGGTGTGACTTTGCAGTTGGCTTTCACAGGTTCAGTCAAGTAAAACTACTACAGTCATTCACAGGCAGATTTCTCTTAAGCCTTTTTTATGTCCTGCCAACTAAGAAACAATCATTGTGTCTTCTTATCCTGACATTCTATCTCAGCACATAAGAAACCATTTCTGATGCAACAGATTCTTGTAATAGAAGGCTAAAAACCAAAGAACTGTTCTGCTGTCTTTCTGCAATTCATATGCTTTGCCATGAAATGGTAATTTGCATTGACACTGCTTCAGAAATAAACCTTTCTAGTTTTGTTTTCTATGTAGTCCAAGGACACAGCAGTATTTTGAGGGTGCATGATTAGTACTTTAAAGGAATCCTTCCATGCTGAAAAACAAGTTCTTTAGCTACCGTAAGTGCAACTGCGTGAGAGGAATAACTGATAAGCTAACGAAGTATAACAGTGCCTAAAATAGCCTTTTTGTAGGCAAGAATGTAGCATTCAAAATGTGACACTACAAGTAATTTCAGAGATAAAAACATTAATTGTATTTCTGGGTTTTATTAGTAGCATGACCTGTAGATTTCAGCAAAGCTACATTTTCAGGTCAGAGAGGGATCACAGTCAAATTTGTCCCATAAGTTGTACATCTGGGAGAGAAGCTAAGAAGTGCTTCTCTAGCAAGTGACTTCATATTAAAGTATCTATAATTTGAAGATACTTGTGGGCTTTGTTTTGAGATTTTTAGATAAGCCCAGAAGTGGTAAGCAGTGAAGGTATAATGTTCATGATGAATGTGTGATAAATACAGTTTGTCACTTATATCTTTTACATAGACTTTATCCCCAGGTGTGTTGTAGATATACTTAAGTGTATATTATGTTTAAGAAGTGTGCAAGGATGTGTGTTACTTAGGATTCTCTGGGATGAAAGTTGCTTATATAAGTCACTGATTTCCTTGCTGATTTTAAAGCACTAAATCCTTCCATTATTTCCTGGCTATCCAGACCTTATGACACAGTATGTCCTGTGCTGTTGTATGTGTGAGAAGGCTTTTTATGGGGAGCAATCAGGCTGGACCCCAATCTCCAGGGCAGTGGTTTTTTTCTAATTAAATTGTCAGTAGAAGGAATATCCGGAACAGCAGTTTTCATTTTCAATCGAAAAAAAAACATTATGAGTCTTTGTCATTTGATTAAAAGTTACTTAACCTTTAAATTGCTACAGATGTAAAGATAGCTCTGAGTTTCCAATGTAATCGCCTCCAAGTTAAAATCAGGAAAATCTTTGTGTAATGAAACCCATATGTCATAGTGAAAGGATGCAAAGCACTGGCAGAGTGGGCTGCTCTAGCAGGAGATTCTGCACCCAATCTTGTTAACCAGGACTGCTTTTGGTAATCCCTCATCTCCTCACTTGTAGGAAATCAATCTGTACCACTGAATCTTTTCAACCAGCAACTATAAAATTTACTGTGGAGAGGCAGCTTGGGGACAATTGTAGTAAAAATGGAGCCTGAGGCAACAAGGCTAAATGTGGGATTGAGGGATTGAAGTTCTAAAGAGAAGATTATATTAAACCTTATTCTGCTCCCCTATCAAGTAGAAATATCTCTTCCTCCTTTCAACCCCAGCCTTTCCTATGCAGTACCTGTTCTTGAGATCTGCTTGGCAGATCTTTGCCAGGCAGCAAACATAATCCCTACAGTACAGTATTCTCTGTTAATTATAATAGCCTTATAACATTTTTCAATACATTTATCTGAAGGAGTTTATTCAAGCACTACTTCCAGAGCAACCAGTGCTATTATCAACCTAAAGTGTTTTTTTCTGTGGAGTTCAGTGTCTTCCTTCTCCCTAGTAGGTGGGGTTAATTTGTATCCAGGCTATTGCGATGGTATCCATTGTTGATTTTCCTATTGTAGTAGATGCACAGCATAGGCAAGGTTGTAAATCGTGACTTGTCATGCAGATTCATGTTTCTGTTTTGTGCTGCGCAGCCTCTGTAGTGTTTGTCTGCTGGTACAATGAAACCTTTGCTCAAACCCTCTCTTCCCTTGAAGTCCATGGTTTAAACTACCATTGTAAAGAAAAAATCCCTGAGGTTTTCACTATAGTTTTGTCCAACCTTTTAATTAAAAAACCCACCTCTACTATTAAAATGGCTTCTGCTGGTCCCTTGGGTAGTTGCTTAAAGCTGGTTTTACCATCTCTCTTAGCCTGCAGTCGTATTTGGAATGTGGGCGATGGTTTCTTCATTCACAAGCTCTTCCCTCACTCCAGCAGGCTCCATAAGACCCCAATGGAAATTATATTCCTATTATTAAGAATTCATTTCTCAGAAGCAATACTGAGCAGAGAAATCAGTTTAATATTAGAGCCTTTTACTGTGCAAAATCCATCAAATCATACTCCAGTGCAGATTAAAAAGAAACAAAGGTGAAGCAATAGCCAAGATGTTTGAATGCCAGCACCATGTAGTAAAAATTTGGCCTGTGTTTACCAGGAATACATTGAACTGTGGTTCTTGGGCAAGTAAGAGAAGCAGCTGAAGCAGGGAAGGCAAGATTGTTAATGTTTGTGGAAACTTGCCCTTAGTTTGGCTGTGGTTTTTGTGTCAAATGAGGATGTTACTTCCTGGCCATTTTCATACATATACAAAGATAAAAGGTCCTTTTTCTTTCTCAGTTTGGCATCATATCTTTAAAAATAAAGCCTTGCTGCAAGCCTGAGTCTGTGAGGAGGCGAGGAATACAGAATAGCAGAAGGCTGTCTCCTGCTCCTAATGGGATTTTGTAGCAGCATGTGCGAGTTTGTTTCAGAAGTCAGAAATGAACAGATGTTGGTATAAATTACCTCTGTGTCTGATGTCTTGCAAATTAAAAGCGCGGTTGGCATCACTAAACAATTTCACCAGGTTGGGGGGGGAAGCGGGTGGTGATTATTGTAGCAGGTCGGTAAGAATCTTTAAGCTGCAGCAGAACAGGATAGCAAGGATAAAGGAATGAAGAATAAAATGAGAGGTCTGTGAATTAATCAGAAATGTTAACATCTTCGATGACAAGTGAACAGGCAGGCACGTGCTCTGGAGCAGCCTCCAACCCACAGTAATTTCACTCAGCACACAGAAGGAGTCTATGCTCTCTGCCTGATTTATAGAGTGCAGCCCTCTTTGGGGGAACAGAATTGTCATGCATTCGTATATCTCCTGGATGGGACTTGCACTCTGGAAAACTTTCCTACTTTATCAACTACAGTTCAGTTTATGTGGTTTTCTCATTAAGAGTGTTTTAAAACCATACACTATTGTTGGAGCAAGCCAGGGAGATGTTAAAGAACTAAGAATCTATTCCAAACTGAAAATTTAAAAATATTTTAGTTTTATTTAGTCATATTCTTTGGGCATAACAACTTAATTCCTGACAAAGGACCAGTCCTCTCTGTTCTTCAGCAGCACCTTCTATCCCTGTGTCACTTCAGCAGCACTTAAAACATACAGGTTATCTTAGGGTTAGGGAGGTAGAGGTACAAATGAGTACTTTTGTGGTAGCTCATGCTGTGCATCAGAAGCAGGATCCCAGGGATATAACTCACATCTGGAGGCATGAGGCAAGAAAATAGTGCAGTGATGAGCTTGAACCTCCAGCCAGTCCAAAACATGTTCCATTCAGGACAGTAGACTTTGCAGCCTACAGATATCAGTATGTAACAGACAGGTTATATACTTTTAAATACAATTAATTGTTTTACAAGGATTTTGCTGATGACAATACCTCATGATAAAAATTTTTATAAACAGATTAGAATGTAGCAATTTAAAGAAGAGGCTTTAAGACACAAATTCTAACTTTTATGTAAACAATAACAAAATGTCTTTATCTGAGTGCACTCTGAGTATTGTAAGCTGAACATTTTTATTACATTTCAGTTCTGTTCTGACAGATAATCAGTAATGTCAAAAGAAAACCCAACAACAAACCCACCTCCAGTTTTTATGCTAATCTTAATTTCTGATGTTTGTCTCAGTAGAGAAGTCAGGAGTTGAATGGATAAAACAGAAAATTAATTCCTTTCTCCTTCTAGACTGTCTTCGAGACTAGGTGTGGGAAACATACATGTTTTCAGCATTCCTGTGAATAAAATTTTCCATGTTTTGATGCCTGCCAGTCCAGCACACAGCTTACACCTTTACTGAAAAGAGATGGAGGGGGACCAGTGGGAAGATTGTCTTTCTCCAGGCCTCAATTGCTAATGGTGCTGTCTTTGATGCATTGTATTGTTATTGCAAGACAAGAATAGTATGAGGGCTGCTCTGCCAGTTTGTGAGCTTGTGAGTTCTCAAGTCAGAAATGTCTCATGCAGAAAAGTGGCTGTGTAAACCCTGCTGTAATACAGCTACCAGAGATTGATGGTACCAAGAGTGAGAGAGAGACATATAAGCCTTGCCTTGCTGTATTAAACATTGAAGGACTGACAACACAGAGAGAAAGAGACCAAAGCTCTATAAACTTTACTTTATTACCCTATCCATAGATGAACTACACTGAAGGAATATAAACCCCATTATATTACAGCATCCAGGGTCTGACACTGCTGAGAGAGAGAAAATGCTGCCTAATTTCTGTTGAAGATCACACCATCCAGGGACCAATAATCCTGAAACAGAGAAAGAGAGAGTTCCATAATCTCTGACAGACTATAACATGCAGGAACAATTGTGCTGAGATAGATAGAGTGATGGAGATTTGGATTTCACCATTCAGAGAGGGATAGTACAGGGAAAAGGAGGTGCTGCAATAGCATAATGCAGTAGGAATAGAAAGCATAGATTGTATGTAATGAGACAGCCTGTGCGAATTATTGCTGAGTTTAGAAGGTTCCAGACCCTGCCTGCATTTGTAGCATGTCAGGAATTCAAGCTGAAATGCAGTTTTATTTATTTTCCACTTTAATAGATAAATAAAATAATTCTTAGTTTTGGTACAAGCACAAATCTAAATGAATTTCTTTTCCTATGGTTAGAATATGTTATACAATTATACAGCTTATACAATTGTTTGAGTTTCTTGGCTTTTTAAAAAATGCTGATTTCTTTTTCCTCTCTTTTGATTTCAGCTAGAGAAATGACTCGAGGGAAATTCCTGAACATCCTAGAGAAACCCAAAAAGTAGCTGCATCTAACATTTGGATGAAAATACCCCAACTAAGTCATTTTATGCACTGCAGATCCTGATGAAGCCCAGAAATCTAAGAAGAACAAAGCTCTTGCTCTAGACCTTCAGAAGCAAGCATCTCTTTTTGCTTCCACAGCTCTCATCTCTTTATGGAGGAAATGTACAATATGCCCAGGTCATAGGGACTGCAGTTGGTTGCATTGGAATTCGGACTTCATCTGACCACAGGATGTCCAACAGGAGGACATGCTGTGACACAGTTAGCTGTTTCAATCAAAGTGAACAGCCAGTGTCCTTATTCAGCTGCTCTCAGGGGTAGCCTGTTTGAGGTGCACAGCAGATCTGGCATTGGCCAGTGTTCATTATGAGGTCTTGTCTTTTGTCTTAGATGCCTTGATTTCCTGTGTGTGATGTCTGTGCTGAAGGATTTGAGCATAGTTTGGGGTGTAGATCTACCAGGAGCTCTGGCTCAGCAGGAGCACATACTTTTAGTGTAGAAGCAAAGTGCAGTCTCTGCATTCGATTCCAGTTGCCCATTGCCTTCAGAGAAGCACATCTGGTACCCCGAGGAAGAGCTCCAGACCGTCGGTGTGCCAGGAGCTTCATGTCACCGCTGAGTGGCTCTCTAAGTGAAACTGAAACTAACAGACCACAGGATTAAGAAGTGTTACTGTCTCATGGAAGGTACCCTCACTGAAGCTTTGGCCAGTACACAAAGAAACAGCTTTGTTATTCCTCTTCAGTTCTTTGCTTTTTGCAGGGCTAAAAACTGGAAAGAGTTCTAGAGTTGAAAGATGGTAGTGTTTTCAGCTATCACTCCAAGAAGTTGCATCAGGACTGTTAGCCACATTGTGAAGATGGTCTGCCTATACAGGATCTCAACGTTTCTGAAAATAATGTTTTGTGGTATATTTAATTGCTTATAAACCAGCACCTCAAAATTTTCTTCTCCTACAAAACCAGAATTTTTAAGATAGAAACTTCTGTGAGCTGCTTCCTTTCAGAACTCTGATTCTGGTTTAATGTCTTTTTCTTCTGTTCATGCACTGCTACATACTCCCTATACCCCTTGGAAGAGGTATAGAGCATGTTCAGAATTTTTGTTTTATTTAAGAGAATTTTTATTCATTCCATCCTTTTTCCTTTTCCTAGAAAAAAACATTTTAAGCATTAGCTCTTTTTTAAGCTACAACAGGATACATGTTCTTTTTAGGATACATGTTCTTGTTTAGGCTACAACATAATGTTGAAACATAACATAATGTTATTTTTACTATGCAGGCTTTTCAAAATGTGTAATTTCTCAGGCTGTAGTCACATAGGAGGGGAGAAATTATTTGGAAATAATACATGTAACAGGCTGTCCTTACAGCACTGCATTTTTCTGGCTTTGCAGAGAGAGAAGACTCTTTTTGAGTGTGTGTGCAATAAAGAGGGGGAGATTTTCTGGATCAAATAGACTTCTGAGTTTTACTGAATTGCTGGTGATGCTTTGGTTTACAGTCTGTGTTTTTTTGTTACTGCCAGTGAGAACTAGGCTTGTTTTGGACTGCTCTGGTTAACTAAGTTTAAGTAGTTAAATCCTACATCCTGGAAGAACCCTGCACAAATGTAGAAATATCAGGAGCCTGATTTAAGGCTTAACAGAGTTATTTCTGTCCTTCACAGTTTATGCAGGGCTGAGCTTAACAAGAACTCCATCCCTTGAGAACATGAGAATTAAGACAGATAAATGAGAAGCTGAAAGTGCTAGTTCAGGAACAGAAAAAAAACTGATGGTGCAAACTGATGTTGATGTAACTTTAAGCATTGAATTATAGATTTGGATGAAAATTTAAGTTTGTATACTATATATGTAATATATGTACATATATATGACATAATGGGATACTTCATCTGTATCACCAGTGTTTTATTGAGGTTTCTTTGTCCAACACATTAAGGAATTGAGATCTGAAAGCAGGATATAAGAAAATATATGAAAGCCTGTCCTGGAAGTATATATGTATCTTCTGACATGTGCAGTAAGAAATTTCAAACTCTAGGTGGTTTAAAAAAAAAATAATTTTTTTTTGTTATACACAGTAATCATCTTCTATAGGGCAGCCATTAACATATGCTTTAGAATAGTGATATTTTTTGATTTTGTACTTATCATCTGTAGAGATGAGTAAATTATGCTATGTTTTATTGACAATATTTATATGTATTTTTGTGTGTTAGCCAGAGAATTTTTTTCTGTCTGTTATTGCTTTTTGGTTTAATAATATGCAAGTGCAAACCTCAGAGATTTGTCTGGGTTTCCAAAATGGCTCTCTGAGATGCGAAAGCTTTTGCTTAGCCACTTAGGCAATACTATTCCTCAGGCTCTTCTTCACTTATCTGCATGACATCTACTCAAGGTTTGGCCTGTGGATGTTCCATTTCCATCAGTAAATAAATATTTGTAAATATCCAAATGCTACTAAGGGTTCTCGTACCCTTTCGAACACAATTTTTTCCTTCAGTTCTATACTTCCTGAAATCCATATTATTACCTATCTGTACAAGAAAATCTGAGTGACTTTTTATTACTGATGGGAATGAAGAGTTTAAGAAAATCAAGATTTGGTAATATTAATCAAGCTGATGCATTCTTTTATAAAGTGTTTTCCTGTATTGGTATATTACTGTGAGTTTCTGGGATGTAAACTCAGTATTTATTTGGTTCCTTTTAAATGCCAGTGTTACACACATTCAGTTATAAAAGCTATTCACTTCAATCTTGGACTATCAAATGCTTTGCTATCTAATCCCACTGAGAAGAAATTCCTGTTTGTTATGTGAATCGCTATCAAAATAAAAGTCTGTGTGCACTGGCAATTGAATAATGTGATATTCCATTCAATTCAGTGTTCTGCCATTACAAAATCAACAGTTTTGTAATGGTCCTGTAACTCACAGTTCTGAACTTTGATTAATATTTCCCTCAAAAAGATACCTAGGAATGACAGATTAGTGAATATGGACTAATCTATCTTGGAGGCAACATTTGAACCTTATTCTGGTTTTACTGATTTTTATGTAACAATGCAAGGTGCTATTACAAGTCAAATCACAAGCCAGTCTTATCTGTAATCTTCTCTTTGCTTATAAACAATTGTAGAAGGATAGGGAAGGATATAAACAAAAGGCTTACACAGTGATTTTGCATTAGGGTAACTTACACAGCATCCAGCAATCTGTTTTAGTTGAATCTGGTCCACAGTAGACCTTACCCTCCATAAATTTGTGTTAGTCCTAATATTTCTGTACTTCTGACCTGAAAAATGCCCCAGGATAGTGAGTTCCATAATTCAGTTATACAAAGAAAAGTTAAAAATTTTAAAAAGAAAAAAAAAAAGCTGGGGGGAAAGTTGTTTTAAATCTGCTTGTCTGATAATTCCGTTTTGAAACTTTCATTTATTTTATTATCAGGAACAGTTGTTTGGATTTTTTCTTCTTTGCTGTCTGTGCAGTACTCATGATTTTTCAGGTTCTACTATAGTTTTTGTTCCATGGTTATGTTCACCTTCTCTGTGTCCACAGTGTCCAATGGTCTGTTTTACACTACAGCCTGAGCTGGCATAATCAAAATTGCAGAGTGGTCATAGTGCAAGCATTCTGTGAAGTGTGTACATCCTAATTGCAACTCATACTTCGTTACTCTGCTGTTTTCTTTCACAGCATTGGGGCCTAAGTCCTGGTTTGAGTATCTCTAGGAACAGGATCATCAGCCAGATTTGCAGCTGATCTCATCCACGTCACCTGCAGTAACTATAGCACTGGGCAAACAACGATTTTCCCAAATCACAATGACAGTGATGCCAACCATTCCATGCTGATGAATTGACACCTGGCAATTCCATCATCAACCTATGCAGTATGTGAAAAAATTTCATCTTCGCCACATGCTGTGAAATCCTGACCTCCCAAAAGCTCAGTAACTTCTCATAAACATTTCTGTAGTACTTCTAAACTAAAATATATTCTTAGAGATATACAATCAAAAGAAAAAGAGAACTTGCAAATTACTGTTGCAGAAAGTCTGCAGCAATGCATACGCTCCCCTAGAACCAGCAGTCATTCAAAAACACCAGAAAGCACTTCAAGCAGTCTCACACTTGAGTTTCTCCTAAGAGCCTCAGGCAACAAGTGTAGTAGGAAAATGTGTCACATCTTGAGTGAGCGATCTGAACATGGCATATGAATTTGATAGAACATGAAAATAATCCTCAGTTCTTAGTGTAGACTCCCATATGCCAGTCTGTACTGACACTTTTAAAGAAGTCACTAAATTATCTTTAGTAGAAGGTCATAATTCATTGAAAGACAATTTTATAGCAGGTTGTCCCTGTATCTTCAGTCCAGGAAAATTAGAGCTGGGCAGAAACTTCTCATGGAGCAGCAACTCTGTGTTGGAGGAAAATGATTCAAAGAACAAATGCAAATCTTGTAAACACATTTGTGTTACAGCAAAACCTTCCCTCCACAGAAATATCAAAACCCACACCCACTCCTATGTGCACATCCCAGCACATGCATCAAGCACAGTGCCAGATACAACAAAAAGGTATTTCATGTGTGATACCAAATATACATTGCCCTGATAAGAGGCACCTTGGTATTTTTAGAAGGCAAGAAAAGAGGAAAAAAAAAAGTCTAAAAATACAGACAAAGAAAATCAAGGATAAGGAAATTAAAAAGACTGTATCCTTTTGATTTTACGTAATGTTCTGCTTCTTTGAATCAAACCTATTCTAGAAACACATTATTTCTGCAAGCCAGTCAGTGCTTTGAGTTTCTTTCAGGAGGATGTGAAATGCAATATTCTGAACTCAAATCATTGTGGCCAATCATAAAGTCCACATAAAGATAGTTAAAAGGTTTAGTAGCCAGAGATCTAGACTGATCCAGTTCTTACAGAATGTAATCCACATTCTGCATACAATAGGTGCAACAATGTCATTTTTATTTAGATTTTGCTAGATTTTCAGCATGGCCAGATCTCTTTGCATCTTGACTTCATCATCCATTGAAAGTGCTGGTTTTTAGACTTGACCTTTTCCGACGTGTCTCTTTGAGGAGGATGACTGACTCCAGGCAGCTGATGAGTGTACAGAATAGGCGTTTTCTTGTTGGGTTTGTGTGGTTGACCTCTGCCCTGCCTGCTGATTCCTATAATACAGATCAGTGACCAGTGAAGCCAGAATGCTCCCTGCCTGTCTCTGTTATAGACACCTCAGTAAGGAATAGAAAAGAGGAAGAGGGCTGAGCTTGAAAGCCCTTACTTAATTGCTAGTACAAAAAATGGGTAATAAGAATGACCTTGCACCTTATTTATTGACCAGATCTCTGTGAGGACAAAGTACTTGACTTGGTTCTGTATCACTTGAAAGGCTGGCTCTGTGGCCCATAGCTGATGAGTAGGCATAATAATATAGGGTAATTAAATTTTGCACTTTCAGACACTTACATGTGAGGGAGGATTTCCCTCTCAAAAATAGCAGGCTCTGTTTTCTTCATAATCACAGAATTTTAAGATATTTGTCTGCTATTTTAAGCAGAAATTTGTGCCATTTTCCACTTACTGTGATAGCCCAAAATGCATGAGGCTATTTTTGAAAAGGCAGGAAGAGAGCTCACCAGCTACATGAGAAGGAGGGACAAGAGACCAACAGAGCAATCCAAATGGGCACAGATGCTCAGGCTGCCTGGTTTTGTGGCCTTCAGTTTGTTTTCCTCTCTCTGTAGAAAAGTAACTTTTTAGTTGTAGCTAATGTTAATTAATTTATATATTTTTAATATATATATTTATTTATATATATATGTATGTATGTATGTATACTGATGATCCCAAATTGCCTTTCAGAGAAAGCAATGGCACCTGTCTTTCTCTTGTACTCTGCATGGATCAACTTGTCAACCTGACTTAGGTTTTTCTCCCTGCTTTGCACACTGAAGCCAAATAGCACATGTGAAAATGGGACAAATTACTTCTGTTGAGGCCCATTGTGGGAGGAATCAGGGTGAGCCCTGATTTGCAGAAGGGATCAGTTTGTAATCAGCTGCACAGGAGGCAAATGGATCTGCAGGCTATAAGTATCCTTAACAGGATCACCTGTGATATTTTGCTCAGTATGAGCTTGTAATCAAAAATTAGGGAAAATGTTTTGCTGAAAAACATTTGATTGATGATGGTTTCTGAAGAAAGTGCCAGGTTGAAAATTAGAGGCACTATGTGTCTTTCTTTGCCTTGTTTTTATAAGAGAGCTTGAGCTGGGATCTACCCACCTCACAACTCATGCTTTTAATAGTTTTGTGAGAATCTTAAGAAACCTGTCCTGTGAGATCCAGCCCATGTTCCTTTACATGAGAACTGATAGGACCTTGTTTACTCACATGCTCCTTCTCAGCCTGAACTCCGCCTGGGCTGACCCATGGAAAGGCCTCCCTGGAGAAGAGTCCATGCCAGGTGCAGCATTCTCTAAGGGCAGCTTGCAGCAAGCCTCAGAAGAGACTTGAGGCAAATCTTTGCAATCAGATGTTTGGTTTTGATGGTGCATTTCTGCATGGAAGCTCGAGTACCTGTGTACCGCTGGAGATGACAAAAGATAAGATAGTCTCGAGTTGAATTCAGGTTTCCACCATGCAGGTGGATGGCGGAGATGGAAAAAGCATGGAGAAAGCCCATGTCCCCATCACCGTGTGGCTGATGCCCAGCTGCTGGCCCCGTGCCATGTAGCTGGGCCCCAGCGCCTGGACTGCTTTTCTGGCTGTTTCTCGCCGTCCCCCTTCTGCCGGTGCCCGAGAGGCGGCTCCCTGTCCGTCTGCGGCGCAGGGAGTGCTGGCTGCCGCTCGTTAGAAGAATTCCCTAAGTCAGACCTATGGTACGAGCTGTGTGAAGCGGAAGACAATTAGGGGCTTATTAGTGTCCTGGGGAGACGTGTAACTTGTGTTGCTGGGACTTACCAAAACAGCGAGGGTCTTACCGGCAAGCTCCAGCCGAGAAAAGACTGAGGGATTGTCTCACCTAATTACGGGGAATGGGCCTCTTTGTGTTTGTGATTCGGTACGGTTGTCCGATCGCTTTTCTCTGGCTGCTGGCTCAGGCCGAGCTGGAAGTGTGCTAATTAGAAGAGAAATGGACGTAGTGATCCTGTCAGCTCTTGTTACCGGCGTGGACAAAGCCGAATATTATTCTGAGGCAGTGTTTTGTGAGTGTCCCTCTTCCAGCTCTCATTAAGGGCAAGGTTGGTGGACGGAGAGGGGACTTGACCACATGGGTTGGCTAATGGAGCACAGTTACCGTTACTGTGCTAATTAACGGGCTCAGGAGGCAAATGCTTCTCCAACCAGCAGTCCCAGCAGCTGCACCTGGTGCTTCCAAAACCCAACCATCTCACTGGGCAAGCCAGGCAAACACTGTGTGTACAAGCAGAAAGGGGGGTATGTATGATGCGTCCATCAGCCATCCAAAAGTGCAGAACCTGTAAAATGGTCATCAGAGAGATGGAAAGGACATAGTGCTGCAGTAGCAGCAGCTCAAGCTCCAGGAGTCCCTTCTCCCCAGTGACCCTTCCCATAGCGCACAATTGTGTCAGCTTCTGCCTGTGGAAAGTGGGTAGCAAGGAGAGAGCTGAGGAATTGCCAGCACCTCCAGGTGCCATCAAGAAAGATATCTCCTGAGAGTTGTTATGGGCATCACAGCTCCAATGTGGCCAGGAAGGGGAAAGCTGGAAAGATGAATCTGACTATCCCACTCTGTGTTGAAGATGGGATGCTTATGGTCTGAGATGAACAGCAAGATACATATACATATCAGGATGATTGTTTTGCTCCAAAAGC